GCTGCTGCTGTTGCTGCTGCTGCTGTTGCTGCTGCTGCTGTTGCTGCTGCTGCTGTTGCTGCTGCTGCAGTTGCTGCTGCTGCAGTTGCTGCTGCTGTTGCTCCTGTTCCTGCTGCGACTGCTGCTGTTGCTGCTGCCTGTTCTGTACATGTTAAGGGGCCCGCCTCATCACGCTGCTGCTGCTGCTGCTGCTGTTGCTGCTGTTGCTGCTGCTGCAGGCAGTGGAGGTTCGCGTTGCTGCAGCAGCAGCAGCAGCAAATGGTCCTGCTGCTGCTGCTGCTGCTGCTGGAGGGTTGTCTGATGAGGAGACACATCGTTTGCTGCTGCAGCTGCCGGTGATGGTGGGGTCGATGGAAGCTGCTGCTGCTAGCTGCGGGGTGTCTAGGGAGCTGCTGCAGCAGTATGCTGCTGCGCTGCGGCTGCTGCTGCTGCAGCAGCTGCAGCAGACACAAGACAGCGTCACGCATGCAATCGAGCGGCTGCAGCTGCTAACAGCTAACCCAAAGACAGACCAGAGGCTTGCGAGAGTTGGATTCTAAACCCTGCTGCTGCTGCTGCTGCTGCTGCGGCTGCTGCTGCGGCTGCTGCTGCTGCGGTGGCTGCTGCTGCGGCTGCGGGGGCTGCTGCTGCGGCTGCGGGGGCTGCTGCTGCGGCTGCGGTGGCTGCTGCTGCTGCTGCGGCAGTTGCAGCAGCAGAGTTGTTGTTTGCGTTGATGAAGCACAAACGATGCAGTGCAGCAAGATATTTGCTGCTGCTGCTGCTGCTGCTGCGGCAGCAACAGCAGCAGCAGCGGCTCACAGAAGCAGCAACAACGCTTTGCGGGCCAGCTAGCTAGCTAGCTACGTAGCTAGCTAGCTACATAGCTAGCTAGCTAGCTAGCGGGGCACAGATGTGCGGCTATCGTCAGCTTAAACAACTAAGTACCTAGCTAGCTAGCTAGCTAGCTAGCTACCCAGCTAGCTAGCTGGCCGCTAGTAGCTTGCAGCTACATAGCTAGCTAGCTAGCTAGCTAGCTAGCTAGCTAGCTACATGGCTAGCTAGCTAGCTAGCATGCATGGTTGCTTACTGTATTGAGTGTGTCTCTTTAAGGCTGTATATAGAGAAATAGAAACAACAAAAGAAATAAAAAGGAGACAGATACAGAGAGACAGAGACAAAAGGAGACAGATAGAAAGAGATAGATAGAGATAGAGATAGAAAT